GGAAGGGCCCATGGGGGCGCGGCAGACGGAAGCCCGCAGTCTCGCCAGAAGCGGAGACTGTTTTTCCTTTCCCAGATGCACTGCGGAGGAGAGGGTGCTGCTAGCTGAAGGCCAGACCGGACTGGGCTGCTCTGGACTTGTTATCCGCGGAGGGCTCTGGCCTGGGCCACTGGCCTGGAGTGGGACCCCTGCAGCTGCGGCCCCTCCAGCACACAGCGGCAAGGAAACCACCTGGGTGCCTGAGCTGGGCATCTCCGCTGTGCTCTCGGGTCTCTAACTGCGTAGCCAAGGACGTTCTGCAGCGTGGGGTCGCAGGTGATCTAGCGGTGGCGGCCACGCAGCGTGGGCTGTGCCAGCACACTCTGCAGCTGACAAGGCGCGCAGCACCGGAGGCCGCTGGTGTGCGGCTGGGACCCAGGTCCTGCGGGACACGGAGCGGGCGAGCCAGTCGGCCAAGCCTCGCGACCTGAGGAGGGCCTTGGGCCTGAGGGATTTGGCTGCACGAGGGTCTTGTATTTCAATATCTTAAGTAAATTTAAAGTTTCCAATTCCTCTACAACGAATTATTTTCTAAAAGATATGCATCTTCCAATTATGAGAACATACATCCTCCCTGAAAAAAGCAATTTACCCAATAGGCGCTAAAGAAAGATATAACTCAATTTTTCAAAGTCAGGCATAGTTGGATGCATATCTTTCTGGTATTTTTTCTATGAATGAACAAGATATAAAGCTTCTGCAACTAGAAACGTCAACAACTGCATTCCTTTTACACCATTTCACGAATTCAAGAACGAAGGGAATTTATAGGGCGTGCAAATGGTATTTTAAATTGTTGAAGAGAATGACGGAGGTTTCTCTGTCTGAGCCAAAGGTAAGCTATAGGTTTCAAAAGGAGGGAAGCTGGTAATCAAGACAAATACTTGGTCAAAATTCTTGCACCAAGAAATGAACTGAGGGTGTGCTGCAGGAGCATGGGTGTGGGTCTTTCTGCACCTTTAGGGCACAGAAGGAAAAGCAGTCGCTTCACTATTTGCATCTAATGAGGAAGCTAGTGGGGCTCAGACAACAGCGCCCCCCACCTTCCTGCCGGAAGTGATGACTGGCATTTGGTGACCGCCAATACTCTAATCCACCAGCTGTTACTGACATCAGGAGCAGGGCTGCCTGCCTTGATTTACCTTGTTGTTTTTCTTTCCTCATGTTACTGTGCTAATCAATGACCAAACTAAAGAAGCGCTGTCCCCCTTTGTCCCAAGGGTTTTCCTCATGAATTGCGTAAATCCTCTACCTCCCATAGTCTAAAAAAATCACATTGATAATTTCAAGAAAAATTTGATGCTTGACTTGAAGCATATTTCATGTACTTGAAAGAAACACATTTACTGTCCCGTGGGTATGTACTTTACTCTATGGGGACAAAAGCATCTGAGATCTACAGGGCAGATGCTGCGTACAACGTGACCTCTGGAGTTTGCTTAAAACCTGAAAACAAAGCAAAGCAAGAATCAGTTCTCAGGATATAAACAGACGTGGTTTCAGTGCTAATTTCTTCGTTAGAGAATCCTACTTCCAGAGAATAATAGTACTCTAGAAACTGAAATGACACAGGTAAGCTTTTGCAGCAGAAAGTTCAAGTGAAATCTAACAGCCACGAACATGTCGCTGAGAGCCGGCAACGTGCCCTGTTGCGTTGTTTCACGGCAAGTGCTGGTTGCCATTTTCCCAAGTCACTTGCGGAGCGAGCCCAGAAGGGGAAGGCAGAACCGTGGTGACGCAGAGGACCGGTCAGGGACGCTGTCTGTGAAGCACAGATCGTCCTTCCTGCGGGCCACACGCACAAGGCTTTCCCCAGCTCACCCAGCTGACGATGCAAACGCGTAAACAGTGAGGAGGGCGTGGAGTGACGAGTTCTCATAAGGAGCTGCAGAACCATGTGACTCCCCACGTCAGGAAAATCTGGCCATTTCAACATGGAAAGACCAACTTCGACCTCTTGTGCATTTTGACTAATACTCTGGCAGAGGCTGTGCAGAAGCAGGAAGAGAGGCTGAGCACTGTCATGGAGCACAGGAAAGGGGTTGCTGTCTCCACTACAACACACAATCTGCTACAAGAGAGAAAACCCGGGAACAATCTGAAGTCCAGGAAGCCAGCACCAGAGGAAGTCTTGCAGCAGGGATTTTACAGGAGAGAGAAGACACAACCATCGGGTGAAAACAGTGTAAGTGTTCATAAATCATAAGTGAAACATCTGGTGGCATTGTGGCTGAGATCTACAATGTCCCCCAAGTGCCTGCGTGTCTGGAAGGTGACTGAATCATGGGGCGCTCTTCTCGAGAGTGGATCTGTCCACTGACAAGGTCACGGCTCGGGTGTGGCTTGCAGGTGGACCTGCAGGGTAGGTCGCCGTGGCCTGCAGGGATGCATTCCTGTCCCTGGCTCCCCTTCCACTCTCTCCCTTCTGGATGCCCTGGGTGGGCAGCACTCCTCCCGCCCGTGTGCCAGGCCACTTCTGCCCTGGAGCCAGACAGGAGCCGGATCCCCTGAGCCCAGGAGCCGCAACAAGCCTCTCCTCTGTTAAGCTTTCCCGCCAATGGGTAAGCAGCTAAGAGGGGCAGCACCAAGTTTGGAGGCTCATGTAAGGGCAGGGGGGGTACAGCTAAGTGGCCAAATGACTGCCTGAAAGGCACGCAGCTTCGGATTTGAGACCCAGCACTATAAAAGAAGAAGAAATAGAAAACTGCTTGGAACAAATAGAAATGAGCAAAACTGATTCCCAAACAAATATGTGAAGAATGTGGTTTCCACCCCCATGGTAAATAAGTGGATTCAGCGGACAAATACCCACCCTTATCAAAATAGGCTTCGGTCGGGTGGGTTTAAGAGGCCAGTTTTGTAGTCCTGTGAGTTATAGATCTGTAACTGTGAGCCATTCCAGAGGAGCTCAGAAAAGAAAGGTCCCAGCACCCTTTATGAAGCCGGCTGCTGAACTCCTCCACAGGGACAGCAAACTGTTACCTATGTTTGCTTATGAACACAGATGAAAAAATTATGTAATTCATAAACATGGGTGCATATCAAGGCCGCAAGAGTTTCCTAACTTTGCCTCAGGCCTCATAGCTTACAGACCAGGGAGTGGGACCAATGTGAACCGAAGCGGGGAGACAGAGCTGCTCAGCCAGATAAGGTCTTCAGAGAGGAATCTGATGTTCCTGTCCCTGGAGGCAGGAGCCTGGCACTCCTGGGGGCAGCCCTGGCTGGCACCTGGCGTCAGACCCGGCCCTTCACTTGCTTGGCGGCGATGATTAATTAAAATGGCAAGTGCCATCTCTTGGTGTTTCCCACATGGCTGGGCCATCAGCCCTCACGTGAGCCAAATGCTTTATGTTCTCCCCTCGAGGGAGACCAGGAAGCCGTCGGCACCGCAGTGTGGAAATTGTGCCTGTCAGCGTCTGTGCTCGTCGCTCCTGTGACGGCTGGACGCGGCAGCTTGTCAGGAGTGACATTTACATGCCTGCCTTCCACAAGTCATATTTCATTTGCTTTGTGAGACATGGCTCTAGGGAAAGGGGCTATGTGGGCCAGAGAGAAGCTAATGCGCTGTGTTCCGCCACCCGGGACCAGGGACAGGTCTGAACTGAACAGCAAAGCGCGGGACACCAGAGGTAAGCCAAGGAGGATCAGCAACTCACTTATACACAGAGTGAGGAGTGGTCCCTGCTCGGGGCCTCAGAAAATGCGGCTGCATTTCTGTGATTTCCTTTGCTCTGCTATTCAATGGACAGCAGGCCACTGCTGCGCCTCGGAGCCTCCCAAGGAGGTGGGAGCTTGACCGCCTTCGTGCACGGCGACCGCCTGCACAGCTTCGCGGCACCTCGGAGACCTCTGTTCTCTGCTGTCCAGGGCCTTCCCCAGGAGCCTCATAGAGCGACCACAGAGACCGGAACCCCGTGGCCTCACAGAAGGGGTCACCTTGCTGCAGCCCCCATCCTCAGAGAGCATGCTCAGGGATGGGAGCCCAACCCTGCACACCTGTGTGGGCCCACGCATGTGGGAGGGGATGCGGGGGCAGAAAGAATAAGGAAAAGCTGGCGTGGGGAAGGAAGAGGAGCACAGCAAGGTGAGGCCCGCACAGGCAGGGGAAGGCGCTAATGTGGGGAAAGGCAGGACCGAGCCTCAGGAGGACGCAGAGCATTGACCTCCACTCCGCCCCACGGGGGAGCGCAGGCTGAGGGCGCCAGGGCACCAGCGGGGCTCAAACCCCTGCACCTGGGCTGCGCTGAGCCAATTAAGTCTGCGCTGCTGCTGGGCGCCCCGCCCGGAACCGCGACTCGCGAGCTCCTCCAGGCCTGACGAGCCCAGCTTAAGAACCAGTGACCAGGATGCCTGCCGCCATCTCTGCCTTCTGATCACACTCCTCCCTCTCTGAGGGTCTGCAAGCATTTGCCTCAGGTGCGCCTGCACGCTAGCAGCAGCGAGAAGGAAAAGGATGGAGAGGCGGAGCGAGCCCAGGAGACAGATTAATTGTAACAGCAAAAAGGAAGCAGTGCCTCAGAGGGCTCGCTTCCTACGCCGTGGGCTCACCTAGTGTGAAGCCTGCTCCTTCATCCCCAGCACGCTGACAGACTGACGCAGGCCCGGTGGGTGGCCATGCTGACTCAGTGGCCAGTGTCACACCCGCACCACGGAGGCCTCCAAGTGCTGACCACGCCCAGAGGAGGCCCGAGGTGCAGGAAGCGGGTTTCTGGTGAAAGCCTCACAGCACTGAGCCTTTACCCATAAGTGTAGACCACCCAAGGGCTTTCCAGGGGACAGCGACGGTCGTCAGCGTCAGGACAGACGCAGGTTCATTAGGGTGAGGGGTGAGGGCGGATTTGAAGCGCAGATGGTGATCGGCGTGAGCGTGAGCTGAAGCCCTGGGAACGCCCACTATGCCCAGAACAGTGGAACAAACACAGCCCCGAAGGGATGCCACAGTCAGCGTCGGCCCCACCTACCAGCTCCTCGTTGTTTAGCGACGTCCTAATGACCATAGCCAGGGAGAGGCCGGACTTCCGTGCAGCCAGGGTCTGCGACACAGAGGACCAAGACACATTAGCATGTTGGAGGTGGCCATGCCCAGCTGCTCAGCAGGGGAGGAGGGGAGGCGTGGGGCCACTGCTGTCCCCTGCAGAGGGCAAGGCGCTGCAGGTCCGGCCCTCAGCACCCAGGACACGCCCCGAAGCCCTCGGGATTGGAGAGAATCCTGACTGGCAGACCCATTACAGGTGATGAAGCCCCGCGCAAGGGGAGGGGAGGCCTGCCAAGGCATCCAGGCCCAAGAGAGGCTTCAGAGTCCGCAGCCCTTGGTCCTCAGCCTGGCTGGTGGGGCGGGCGCAGGGGCTCCCCTAGAACCTCGTCCTCATCTAGCCGGTGGCTCTGCCCATCTCCCATTTGTCTGCCGAGAACTCAGACCCCCATTCATTCCTGCCTGGATGCCGGAAACGCAAGCCTTCTCAGCTGGCTCTCAGGCCACCTGCGCTCCGGGAAACAGGGCCTCGCCACCCCTCCCCTCAGCGTGCGTGGCGCAGGAGCCCCAGCTGTGCGCACTCCAGGGAGCACTGCGGCTGAGGGGCTCCAAGTGGGAGAGCCGGGCCTGGGAGCACAGGGAGTCGCGGGGGCCGCGCATGCTGCCCACCCCACTCCACCCCACCTGCTCTTAGACACCTTTCTGGTGTGAAGCCACGCACGCAGACTGCGCTCTGCGCGTGTCCGGGTTGGGAAGCCCCGCCCCGCCCCACGCGTCAGCTGTAGAAGGCTCTTCCCGGGTTCCCCCGAGGAGGGCCCTCGTCGCAGACCACTGCCTGTGAACGTGCTCTCGCGCTGTCTCTCAGTCTGAGCCTGCACCACTGGGGACACACTATAGCTCTTCAAAATCAGAATAGCTGCTACGTCACTATCCCTGCACAGGTCTGCCTTTTTATGTCCCCATCTTGCTCTTTCAGCTCATGGATAAGGAAACTGCACGTTTGGGAAGGTCAGCAAACAGCAAGCACACTGCAGAGCACTTACCATGGCCTGAAGAGCCAGAAGTGAAAGGAAAGCGAAGTTCAAGGCATTGAACAATGGAAGTGGAAGAAGAAAACAAGGTTAAGGTCGTCTAACACTTCAAGGCAAGGCACACTCTGCACTGACAGGACTCCAAGCCAACCCTATCTCACGGTCATGTTTTCTGAAACTAGGACTTGATAAGCAAAGTCTTATTTTAAAACAGGCTGGCCAGATAGCTCAGCGGATTAAAGTCCCTGCTTAGACAGATGCAGGGACCAGGGTTGAATCCCCAGCATGCTGTGCGGGCCCCACCCACAGGGCGGAGCCTGAGACTGGGCGTGGGCGTGGGCGTGGGCATGGCAGTGTGTGTGTAGTGAGACCCTGCAGGCCTGTACTAAATACACACAAAAATAAATGAAATAAATAAGATTATGGTGGTGCCCTCAGGTGACCATTTCCACAATAATATTTAAAATTGCTGGTATAAAAATTAAGCACACTGTTGCTAAAAAAGATAGTTATGCTTCTTCAGGAGTAAATGTATTTTTCACATAATAAACTATTCAAGAATCCCACATACCCATAGGAAAAGATGTGGTATTCTGAAGGATAGAAACCCTCTTCCCCTGTGGGTGGGCTTCCTTTGCTTTTCCTTTTTAAGCTACTGAGAGTAGACCACCGCTTATGCTGAGCATTTCTGAGTGATTCCCAGTATATTCAAATATAGGGTGATGAGTCATTTAAAATCACGCTGAGGACTAATGCAACTTTCATGGCTGGATCACGATGGTTTTCTTTGGACAGCGCAGCCTATTCATTTGCTAGAATCAATCTCACTACAGCGAAGGACCAACCAGTACTGCCCGCATGCTTCCTAGAGCACTGGAGGCTCCTCTGCAGAGGGGAGGAGTCTCAGGCCAAGCCCCAGTCTGAGCCCAAACCCGGCAAGTTCATCCCATCAAACTGGCCAAGCCCAGCTCAGGGCCTCACCCAGCTGCTGGGCGAATCCTCTGGCCTCATAATGGAGTCACTGACTCAGTCTGCAATTTCCATTAATATTAAAGTGGCCAGAAGGCCAGAGCTATTTCTTCCATCAAATACATTTAAAAGAAACAATGAATGTAACACTTGTCAAAATCCAGCCTCATATATTTTACTCAATGAAATATTTATGGGCTAGGTAGCTAATGAGAAGGACATTATGTTTTAATAGAGAAAAAGTCAATACCTGCCCATGGAAAGAATTAACCAGGAGGAACTTACCACATCGCGAACAATCGGCAGTGTTTTCTTCCTGCGGAGGTCGGGCATGCTGTCGATTCCGTACAGGCCCCAGCCGGCCCTGCAAGGCAGAGAGCATCATTTCAGGGTCAAGATGACTGCACGGAAGGAAAGGCCCACTGTTCACCATGCAAGGCTTTCAGAGATTAAATGCAGCGCACGATTCTCAACTAATTCGTAAAGTGGCAACTCCCCAAGACCCCAGGACTGTGTCCAGCGCCCAGTGGACTGTGCAGGTGTGAAGACTTTGGGACACACGGGGCCAGGCGAAGGGCCGCCTGCCGACACTGTGGGAAAGGTGCTGCAGCATGGAGAGGTGGGCAGAAGGTCCGCCTGCAGCGGGGCCTGGACCAGGGCACTCCCGGTGTGAGCTCTGTCCCTCTGCAATTGAAAGTAACTGCCTCCGTACAAAATGAACCCTTTGCTGTGTGCTTCATCATCACAGATCCAATCCATGCTGGCCTCTCTAGGAGCCGTGGCCAAGTTTACAATAGTGACTCCCCTCAAAGGAAAGGTGCCATCTACCTGAACACACCCCACAGACACACACACGGGCTTACGGAGTTGCCGCAGTGCTGGTGTTCACTGAAATAGTTTTTGTAAACACAATAAAAACCAGGTTGTCCAAACGCGGCCTCCATGAGCTGCGACTGCGTCTCACGGGCTGTCTCAGCAGCCACAGCCTAACCTCAGCATTCGCTTCAGTATCAAGCACAGCCTGGGATTTTGAGCCAACACTAACTTTATTGTATGACACTACAAATAGCAATAAAAGCGAAACAGTAACAGAGATAGAATGTTAATAGGTGAGTGGTAACAATGCCGAGGCACAGGTTCAGAAATGAGGAGCAGGTGCACCACGCGGGTCAAGAATGAAGCCGCCGCACGTGGACGGGCGGCACAGCGAGGAGGCGACCACTCTCAGTTACACTGCGGAGAGCCATAGACTCCAGTGTAGCTCGGAGGACAGAGAAAGCCAGTGGCTGTGGCGCAGAAGTGAAAAGCAGAGAGGAAGGAGGAAAGAGGCCAATGGCGGGGCGGGGCGCAGGGGCTGTCGCGCGTGTCCAGAGGCCACTTGGTGAAGATGCCGCCCACGCGTGGATGGGGCATGGAGCTGTGTGCCATCCCTGTCGAGCAGCTCCCAGGAGGTTGCGGTGGAACTGGAGGCCAGCCTGGGCCACACGGGAGGACCCTGGATCAAAAAGAAATCACTCGCAGGGACCAGGGTTTGATCCCTGGCGTGCTGTGCCAGCCCTACCCCCAGGGCACGCTGAGACAGAGACTGAGATTGTGCACGGTGGCATGTGCCTGTAATCCCAGTGCTCGGGAGGCTGAAAGCAGGAGTATTACTACAAGTATGATCCACGTAGTGAGACACTCTACTAAATATATAATATATAATATATATTACATAATATAATATGTATATATCACTGCATCGCCCCTCACTGCCAGGGAAGGACAACACAGGACACGGGCTGTGACAGCCATGGCGGGCATAGTTGAGAAATTTGGGTCACAAAAAGAAATCAGCGGCAGCACGTTCCTCTCACGGTGGCTTTGTGTCTTCATCGTCCATGCTGTGTTATAGCTATTTCTTTCTAGGTGACAAATACGGGCTGAGTACCTGCAGGGCGCAGCTGGCGTGTGTCTGCACCCGAAATGATCCCACCCCCCAGGGAGCACACCTTCACCCCACCACCCATCGGCTTGTTTACGGTAAGAACGTCAGACACTCCTCGGTACCATGAGAGACTGCAGGCTGCAGGGGGAAGGAGTGGCCACGGGCATCCCTGAGCGCCTGTCCATGCGGAAGGCTCTGTCACTGCCAAAAGCCACGAGGCTCCCGGCCGCTGCCCTGAGCTCTCCCCACTCCCCCACGGCTCACGAGGGACGAGGTTCTTGCCTGGCCTCGTTGCTCCAATGTGACTCTGAGAAAGCCTTTCTTTCTGTCATCTGCACAAAGCATTAACAGTGGTATGAAGGGTACACGGGTAAGTAGTCTTCTGTTTACTGCACATCGATCACACTAACCAGCTGTGAGAGCCATGAAATGTTTTGACTTCTAAATGATGTAATTCCATAGCCAAGTAAAGAAAGCCTTTCAATTGCAATGATTGAGAAAGTGACTTTATAAGCTGCAAAGTGTTACATAAATGGGTATTTTCTTCACATCAATAGTAATTTACTTCCTATGCGCTCCTTCTTCTCCTGGAACTTGGTTAGAGTCTCAAAAAGATGCCCAAAACTGCCACCAGCCTCCCTGCGCAGACGTGGGAGTGAGATGCCCCCGTGTCCTCCCCGTGTGTCCCCTCACTGCTCAGACGTCAGGGCCCAGGCCGGCTTTGAGCATTAGCGTTGGTGACCCGAGTTCAGCACAGGCACCCAAATTTCCACTGAAATTTCATTTTAATTTTGTAATTTGGAAAACTGCAACACAAATAGAACACCAGCTCCACAGGGAGACTAAAGGCTTTAGCCAGAAGCTTCCTTCTTTCTTTACAGCTGCACCATTGTTGTAAAAAGTGCTGGCAGAAACATTTTTGTGGGCTGTCTACCAAGCAGCAAAGCTTTTTATGCACACCTAGACCTTAAAAAGGAAAGACTGCACCCTGGCCTCACCTCATGAACGCAGGAGCCCCCTATAAATACCATGACGCTCCACATGATGCTTCATAATGATTGCTGATAGGCTTCTTAATCGTGAGGGCTGTGGGGAAGATCGAGTCAAAACCACTGGAAGTTCCAGGAAACAAACCCCTGACCTTCCAGTCAAGAAGTCAAGCTCACACACAGCAATGAAATCCAGAGAAGCTGTCCATGCTCACCATGAGACGTCAGAGGGGCCGCCCAGGCGGCCGCAGCAGGCCAGTGTAGGGATCTGTGGGTCCCAGTGTGATCCATTCCTCCCAGGGAGAAAGGGCAGCAGGAATGAGGATGAGATAGACTAGACGATGAGCTGGGTCAGGTGGCAACTCGTCTGCTTGGTTGGCAAGGTGAACCCCAAGCAACAATATGGACATTTACTTAGACCTTTGCAAAGCTAGTGACAAGTGACACAAAGTGGTCTAGTGACTAAGAGTTGACATTAACCAGTCAGGCTGCTTACCTCAGGACTGAGCTAGCTTGTCTGCTTTAGGCATGGAGGCCAAGTCCCACCTACACACATTTGATCAATTTTCCAGCTTCCACGGCTCCCCATAGACAAAAGCTCAGAAAAGGAACTGGACCAGGAGGAAGCGTGAGCTCAGGGGACTGAGACAAGCCTGATGATGGCTACAGAAAGGAGCACGGAGTGAAGGTTTACGTGGTACTTGGTGGCTGTGGGAGCGGTGCTCAAGATTACAGTCACAGTGGCAGTTCCTGTCCCTCTAAAATCCAAAGAAATAGAGCTTGTTTCCTTCACATTACAAATGAGGAAATGGAGATGGAACACTCCAGCGTCATCCAAGAGGCACAGCCTGCAAGGGGCTGGACCGGTTTGAACCTACGGCCAACGACTGCCTGTAGGACGGATAATCCCGCAGGGACGGCGCATACTTCTGAGCAGGCAATGATCACGAATCCTACTTTACACTTCATGGGATGGAAGTGAAGCAGCTTCCCCAAGCCTGAACCCCACAGCCAGAACTCACTGAGCTTGACTTCCAGTGCAGGGCTACTGCACCCCAACTCCTGCACCCCAACTCCTGCACCCATGGGAAAAGTGGGTCGCCTGGCGGAAGGGAGGCCTGGCCCTGGTAGCCCAGGGAGCTGCTTCATCTGACGTGCTTTCAGTGCATCTTGAGACGGGTCTGTCTTTAGGCTAGAAGCCCCTGTCACCTCCTTCTCCATGGAACAGCCCCTGCACACCCCACTCCTCTCCAGGACCCCAGAGGTCCCCTCAGAAGGTGACAGGAGAAAGCGGCCAGGGAAAGGGGACCGCAGCAGCCAAGACGGGAGGACAGTGGCAGGAGGACCACAGAGTCGGGCACCACGTAAAACTGACAGTGGATGGCATCCTGCAGGGAGTTAGCCAGGTATATCCCTAGGCAACCCTTCATCTATTACGTAGTCCTAGAAATTAGTATTGGTTTTAACTGGCAAGTCGCAGTGTGCATTTATGAGGTGCACTGTGAGGTCTCAGCCCACAAGGCAGGAGTAGCTCAGGCTAATTAACACCGCCATCTCCTCATTGGGCATTTCTTGTGGTGGGGCCTTGAGAATGTACGCCCTTCATGGAGATAACCAGAAGATCTTCAGCAGGTTTTCTTTTTCTGCCTCTTTGCTCTTTTCAGGATAACATGAAAATTACTTTACTGAATTCAGTAAAATCTGATGCATCTCAATTCAGAATCACTTAATCATCCTGTTATCAAATAAACACAATGTGTATGCCCTGAAGGATATATGTGATACCTGTTTCATGAACTATATGTAGAGAAAGGATTTGGAGGCTGATTTTGCTAATCTAAGCAAAGGTTAGTCATACTTTTATTTAAAACAGAACTGATAACATGTTGGATATACATACGCATTGGAAAAGAACTCCAGTATGGTAACCAGGGTGATGTGTGAAAACCGCCAGGTCAGATTGTGAAAAACGGTCAGCCACACTGCCCATGGGGGACCAGTGAGAGGCCCACTGTGCGACACCTCACACTGTTACGAAATCCAAATGACGGACCCAGCGTTGGTGAGGCAGTGGGGACCTCGCATACCACTTGTGGTGAAGCGAAACAGTGCTGGGGTTAGTTTCCTCAAAAGACTACAAAACATAGCTGCAAGATGACCAGCAGTTCAGGAGATCGCTGCAGAAGGGGAGTCACGCGTCTGAACATGTGCGCCCGGCTCGCACAACCCAAGGCCTGGCACAGATCCACCATCAGGCTCAGTGTCCACAGGGGGACCACGGGACACACTGAGTGCAGGACTTTCCAGGACCTGCTCTCTGGGCTAGCAAGAATGAACAGGAAGACCACATTAGGCGAAGTAAGCCAGGTTCAGAAAGAGAGACACTGCCTGGTTTCCTCCAAAGGAGGAATGCGAGGCAGCTCATCTCATCGAATCTGGGGTTGAACC